CGAAAAGGACAAGTAAATATATCTAGGACAGAAGAAGTCATTTTTGAGAAAGACGCAGAGATGGAGAAACCTGAATCAAAGGAGCGCAGACAACTACATCCAGTTCTTAGTTTCTGAACAACATGGGGGGTGACTATGCGAGCCCCATAGTCATATGATTGTTAAATTATAAAACAGGTTATGTGGAAAACACACACAGAGATACATGTCAGTCGGAGATCCTCCTCTCTCATAGTCATACCCAAACCGCCCAGAGACCCTGGGTCATGAGGAGGAACCCCTGAGGGATGGAGCCTCACTGAGCAGCCACCTGGGGAGGCTTTTGTTTACACCCAGAGCACTGTGGGAGGAGTCTCCTTGCTCCACCAGCAGTAATAACTGGCAGCATCGCCATTCTCCACGGGATCAATCGTGAGACTGAATTCAGTCCCAGACCCACCACCACTGAACCGGGCCAGGACCCCAGACACTCGACTGGATGCTTTATATGTCAGGATTCTTGGACGCTGTCCTGATTTTTGTTGATACCATATAATAAAGTGGGTAATGCTCAAAATGTCACCGACTTTCTGACAGGTCTTGCAAGAGATGGCCATGTGCTCTGGAGACACAGTCAAAGAGGCTGGAGACTGGGTCAGCACAATGTCCCCAGTGCAGCCTAGAATGAGAAACACAACAAATATGGCAGAGGTACTTAGAGCATCCCAGTGGAGGCCCACAGCACTGATGACCTTGTAGTCAAAGTCATGGACAACACTCTGAGGAACCAGAAAACAGAAGGGAACTGGAACCCCACACCAACTGCTTGAATTCCAGCCACCAAGAACCCAGAGACACCGAAAGCATTGTGGCCACAGTGAGTTTTGCCCACCATTTCTCCCTATGTACCCCTCTCACCTGGAGCCCAGAGAAGCAGGATCCACAGCAGGGGAACCCCAGACCCCATCTCCAAAAGCTGGACCAGAGATTGTTCCACGGGGGCCCTGACCAGCTGCTTTTAAGGTTGTTGAAAGCAGCCTAAGGTTTTGTCCAATGACACAACATGCAAATCAGCTCAGAAGAGCTTGAGGTTGTGCCCAAAGGAGACACCTGCTCTCAGAACACCCTGTGGGACTTGGTGTCACCAGAAATTTCCAAGTATAGCTCAAGCATGTCCCAAGGGATTAGGGGACCAGTTTCTTAAATCTTGGACTTCTAGTTTGATGCCACATGGGGTGCCTTGGGCTCTCTTACTGTGAGGATATAGGTTATTTCAGGTTATTTCAGGAACACTTTTAGTCCCTAGAATTACCACAATAATGTATTTCAAGTTGTAATTATTGTCTGGAACAGAAAACCATGGGGTTATAAATGCGTGAACCAGAGTGGCCTGGTTCCAATGGGGAGAGGAAGTTGGCCTCACTGAGTAAAAAAGGTCTTTAAATGAAGTCCTGACATGTCCTCAGGACCTGGAAAGGGTGAGAGGGCTGAGCATGGAACCTTGGTGAAGGCTGGGAAGAGACACTAATCAAGGAACTTCCCTTGGTGTGGATAAGCCCAGGACTTTCCATTGGCTCAGTCCTGGAAACCAATGTCCTGTCTTCCTGAAGCCCTCCCAGGCAGAGCAGTCACTCCTGCTCAGAGTGGAGAACCCCCTGTGCCCAACTTCACGTTCACCCTGCCTCTAACATTGATGTGTCGTGTGCAGGCACTGTGACAAAGCCCAGAAGACAAAACCGTGTGAATCCCAGCTCGCAGGGCAAGAGCACATCTTCTATCACCTCAACACTTTCTCATGAACTAATTCTTCGTCTTCTACAAAATGCCCTCCCAAGTGGCTCCCAGTGACTTTTCCCAGACAAGAGCAAGCTGAGCCACGTGTGACATACCATTGCCTAATGGATCATTCTAGTTGTTTGTCATCTGTCAGGGGGAGGGCCAGGTAAGTGCAGGTGGCTCAGGGGAGTGGCTGGCAGGCAACATCACCAGGTACCACCACAACCTCAGACTCTGCCAGCTCTGCCAGCTGGGGATTTACATTAACCTCCCATCTCTATTGCCTCCACCACAGGCTTGATGCTGCTCACTGTGTCTTTTCCACAGAGAGGGTATGAGCATCCTTGGGAGGGCGAGAAGCAGCCTGATGGTGCCAGATCTTCAGGCTCCTGCTCATATGGTCCAGGTGAGAGAACCAAGTTGAGAGTTCCCTCAGGGGTGAACCTCCTGCTTCCTGAGAAGACTGGTAATGGAAGAGGACAGGAAATGAATGCCATCATCAGCACAGGCTTGCTTAGGGCCTGGCCTCACATTGGGAGGTCCACTCTGGCTCTAATAGAATCACAGCATCTCCGCATCTGCCCAGTGTGCCTCTGATAGCAGCTTCCAGTGGGCACATGACACTCTCCCAAGCTGCCAGGTCCCTGGCGGTTCCCCACGAGAGAGTCTCCATCGACTGCAGGACCAGTGAGAGCCCCCTCCACACAGCCAGGAAGCACTGCTTATCCTGAACCAGAATGGACTGAAGGCCCTCATTTACCTCCCTTCCACCTGAGTTAATGGGGTGCCCACCCGTTCAAAGGCAGCGACTCTAGGACAGACTTGACTCATACCATCCACAGCCTGCAAGCTAAAGACAATATGGCTGACTTCGGTTTTACAACATCAGGATGTACTGTCATAGTGACAGGACCCCACATCAGACTTCAGCCCTCTCTCTGGGTCTGCTGCTAGTCATGACAGCCCCAGTCTGACCCTCTCCACTCAGGTCCCTACCTTGCTTCCCATTGCCTCCTACTGCTGTCCCCATGCAGAACCTCCTCTCTGCTGGAAGTTTTTAGTCATCCTTTGCTGGCATTCCTATTTCCTGACTTTGCCTTTCAAATTTTAATCCAGAAAAAACATCTCAGGAAGGAGAAAACACTAGATCTCAGTCTATCCTTGTGCTGGAACCAATGCACATTATTCTTTTCCAACATATTTTTAACATTAAAAAAAAAAGTCTTCTAGTGCAAATGCAGGAGCGAATAGCAGGCTCTTTTTCTCACTAGAAAACGTTTTAAATTTGGAAAGAACAACAAAGCAGATTAAGGTGGCAAACAAAAAATATGGAACAAGGGACAGGTAAAGGACTCACCACCAGAACTTCTCCCCCGACGCTCCCCACTGAACCACTGACATGCGCAGTAGCCCACGTCTCTTCTAAAAGTGCTCTGAGTTTCTGTGTTTCCCAGGCAGCCTGCTCACCGAGCTTCTGTCGCCCCCTTCAGCCACTTCTAGAGACTTCTAGGCCTGCCTAGAAAGTGGAAGAACAATGTTTGTTTGAAATCAAGATAGGTAGACTACGCCACTCTAGGATCACTCCTTATTGCAGACTAACACCAGCCCCAAAGTCTCTCCTGGTTTCTGGAATATTTTAGTTCCCGCCTCCTAGAGCCCTTCACAGCCTGTCACAATTCCCGGTGGTTTCAGTGTACTCAATATATGACCTTCCATTACCTGATCTCTCAGTTGTTTGGCTGATCCTTCTCCAATCGTCTCTTCCCCACCAATCATGATCAGTCGCTCTCATGGCCATGCCTTAGGTGCGCCATCAGAAAATCATGACAAGTTCTCCACCATTACAATGCTGAGCATCTCAGGGGCACCTGGGTGGCTCAGTAGGTTGAACCTCTGCCTTCAACTCAGGCCATGGTCCTGGGGTCCTGGACCCGAATGCCCAAGGGATGACTTTAAAGAAAAAGGTGACAAGTGGTGAAAAAGGTGCTGAGGCACAGCATCCCATGTTCCTAAAATGACAGAGTTGAAGAGTGAGGGAATCAAAGCACCTGGGGGGCTCAGTCTGTTGATCGTCTGACTCTTGGTTTCAACTCAGGTCATGATCTTAGGCATGTGAGAAGGAGCAGGCATCAGGTTCCCACTCACAGAGTGTCTGCCTGAAAGTGACATGGTTAAAATGAGTGAGGGAATCAGAGTGGCTGCGTGGCTCAGACTTTTGAACTTCCAACTCTTGGTTTCGGCTCAGGCCATGATCTCAGGCATGTGAGATGGAGCGGGCATCAGGTCCCCACTCAACAGGGTGTCTGACTGAAAGTCTTGCCATCTCCCTCAGCCCCTCCTCACCAGCAATAAGTAGATAGATAAAATCAAAAAGAAAAAAATAATGAGAGAATTGCCTTTGTGAGAATGAGTACACCTGGGAGAAATGGAGAAGAGAGAGAAGGGAGGTAGGAAAGGAGCTGCAGCAGAAATGAATGTCCAGGACACTGCCCAGGAAGGCTGGGAAACAGGGCCCATGGAAGCAAAAAGCGAGAGGGACACTACCTTCCACATGGGAGATTCTGAATAGGAGCGCTCAAAGGTTTCATCCTTGGAAGGTTCAGAGTGGGAGGGTGATGGAGCTTTAAGCAAAGAGAATGAGGAAATAAAACAGAAATGTCCCAGAGTCCAAGAGGAGCAGGAAGGGAGAAATGACCCGCAGGGTGTAACATTCACGGCCCTTTGTCAGAGGCTAAAGACAGACCTTCCTGGCTCACTCCTGCCATGGGATCCTGGGAAACACACAGCTTCCTGGGGCACAAAAACTCCTGGCAGCATCCCTAAGACATCTTCACAGCATTTGTCTTCACTAACCTCCCACAAAAACGGATGCAGGAGGGATGCCTGGGTGGCTCAGTTGGTTAAGTGGCTGCCTTCAACTCAGGTCATGATCCCAGCATCCTGGGATGGAGTCTCGCATTGGGCTCCCTGCTCAGAAGGGAGCCTGATTCTCCCTCTGCCTCCTGCTCCCCCTGCTTGTGTTCGCTCTCTCTCTGACAAATTAATAAAATCTTTTCTTAAAAAGGGAGTGGGGGATGCAGGAAAAGTCTGATCTCTTCTTTTTCTGCTGGGCCTTACAAGTGCTCCAAGGAGTAAGTTAGGAGACGTGACTTCTCAGGCAGATAGGGGAATGCATATGTTCAGGGCTGAGCAGGGAGGAAACAGCTGGTGCAGCAAAGCCTCCCTGACCCTCGGCCCCGGGGAGCAGGTTTATGCTCGAGGCTGAAGCACTGTGGGCGGAAAGCTATTACCCTGCTGGCAGTAATAGATTCCCACATCTTCGGCCTGGAGGTTGCTGATGGTGAGGGTGAAGTCTGTCCCAGACCCACTGCCGCTGAACCGGTCTGGGATGCCCGTGGCCCTGCTGGATGCACGATAGATAAGGAGCCTGGTAGCCTGCCCAGGTTTCTTCTGGTACCAGGCTACATAGTTGCTAACACTCTGACTGGCTCTGCAGTTCATGGTGACCTGTTGACCTGGAGACACAGCCAACGAGCCTGGAGATTGAGTCATCGTGATGTCCCCATGAGCACCTGCAATCAGAAAAATGGTGATACAGACACAATTTATCCCAGTCACACTGAAATATGTCATTGCAAACGTGCTTCCTAATGGTACCACATGGCAGTACATCATTGGGTCTATTTTGGAAATATCAGTGTTTCTCATTATATATCTTAAACAGTTGTTGAAAATGACACTACTCTGGAAGGATTATGGCACTTTTCAGCTTCTCACCTGAGACCCACAGCAACAAGCAGAGCAGGACCTGCCTCTGTGACGCCATCTTGCTGCCCCTGCCTGCCCGACGCAGTTCAGCTCATGTAGCAAAGGCCCCTTTTATACAACCTGAGCTGCTGGTCTGGGCCTGGAGGGGCTTATGCAAAGCAGTCAGGGAGAACAAAAGCAAATCTCATAAGCAGTGGGTTGTGAAAGTACCAGTGGAAATATAAGGAGCCAAAAAAAACTCCAAAATAGAGTTTACAACAGGAACACACAAAAATCAACTTAGAAGCTCTGAGAACAACTTACAAGTTCTAAAATGACAAACTGCTACAAGGTCGAATGAAGAGCTTCTATTTTCAATTTAAAAATGTCTTTAAACGGGTTCAGTTTCCAGAAAAGATGAACTTGGCTCTTCATATCAACAACCCTGGTAAAATAACAAAATACGCTGGGAAACAAATAATGGGAGGCAGGGAAGGGCAAAAGAATTGGAAGGTACAAAAAGAAAGTGGAGAACTTGGGCCCAACTTTTTATAAAACCTCTGACTGGAAAATATTGAGTTCTGGGCCATTTTTCTCCTGCAGATGGGTAAGGATGCGGCAAACACTTGATCTCGGGTCCTGGAGCTGTGCAATGTCCAGAGAGATGAGAGATAGAAGACAGGCCCAGAATTTCCTTCCTCAGGGAGATATGTGGGACCCTCATTGGACCTAGGGGAAGACTGAATCCTGAATTTTAGTTATTCTATCTTTTCAGTTCAATATTTCAGTTCAATATTTCTGTTCTGTGTTGAATTAAACAATAAATGAAATCTAGGTGCCTTCAAGAAAATTCAGTTCCCTCCAGTGGTTTGAGAAGTCAGGGCAGGGTTGCTTGGGCACCATATAAACTTCCTGCACCTGTTCCTCCTCCTATTGTTCCATCTTAAGCAGAGGGAAAGAGGAAGGGGTGGGATTCCCTTAAGACGCCAGACACGTAGTCTCAGTGAGAAGGGCAGAGGCTGTGGAGGCTTCAGGCGCACTGCAAGTCCAACCACAACTCTTCTGCCATCTTTCCTCTGAGTGGGACAGATGCCTGAGGCTTCCTCTATCAGGTGGCACCCTGGCTGTTCTGTGGGTCCCCGTGGCTGGTGCACCACTTTGCGACATGAGCCTTTTCCTAAACCCAGGTAGAGCCTATATCAAGTAAACCCTACCTAGGGATACACACCTCACCCTCACAAAGAATCGGTTTGCCCATCGCTCAGCCCCTCAATTTGCCTCTGATGATGGTTAGTTTTATGTGTCAACTTAAGTAAGCTAGGGTGCCAAGTGGAGTGGTCAATGCCCGTTTAGATGTTCCTGCCAAGGTATTTTTTAGTGTGATGAACATCTACATCAGTAGCCCTTGTGATAACACAGAGTCTCCTCTTGTGCTGCACAAAAGATTCACCACAGCCCTGTTTCAACTTCAAAAAGGAAAGAAAACTTTATTATTAATATAGAATAACCAATAGAAACAGAAGAGGAAAGGAATCTACACATACAGGAAGGGAATAGTATGCAACAAATGAGTATAAGGCCACTTTACCTCATAGCGAGTACTTACAACACCCCACCTCAGCAGCTGGGTAAGCCCCGTGGAGACAGACAGGCTAGAGTCCTGACTGAGAGGACTGGGCAGAGTGTCCTCCTCTCAGGGAACACTTCCAGTGGACCATCCCCACAAAGGCCATATTTATAGGGCAAATAATAGGGTTTGAAATTAAACATTTATTAGCCTAGGTATAGTTTGGAGCAAGCTATATGTCCACATTGTCATGTTTCTGTATTTTCAAGGAGCCCGAGCTAAGTGCATCTGCCTCCCCTCCCGGATCCCATTCTGGGGGCCAGCACAGCCTGGAGAAGAAGGGGATGGGAGACAAGGCTGTTGCTCTTGGCATCCAGAACAGAAGGGCCATATCCCTGATGAGCATAGATGCAAAAATCCTCTACAAAATATTAGCAAACCAATTTCAACAATACATTAAAAGGATCATACACCATGATCAAGAAGGATTTATTCCAGAGATGCAAGGACCGTTTAGTATTCATGAATCAATCAGCATGATATATCACATGAACAAAATTAAGGGTAAAAATCATAAGATTGTCTCAACAGATGCAGAAAAAGTATTTGATAAAATTCAGTACCTATTAACCCCCCCACAAAAAAAAAGGAAAAAGAAACCCAAGAAATACCAAGGGTTATAGAGGATATGGAGAAAGAGGCTATGGAGTGGATAAGGAGAAATGCACTCACGTGTTGGGGATGTAAATTGGTGCAGCCACTATGGAAAACAATATGGAGTTTTCTCAAAAACTTAACGATAGAACTACCCTATGATCCAGCTATTCCACTACTGGGTATTTTAAAATATATATGCACCACTGAGTCCATTGCAGCATTATTTAAAACAGCCACGATATGGAAACAACCAAAGTGTCCATTGATGGATAAATGGATAAAGAAGATGTGCTATACATGTGTACGCACACAATGGAATACTACTCAGCCGTGAAAGGGAAGGGAATCTTGCCATTTGAGACAACATGGAGAAACGTGAAAGTAATGTGCTAAGTGAAATAAGAAAGACAGAGAAAGATATTATGCATAATATCACTTCCATGTGGAATCTAAAAAAGCCAAATACATAGAAACAGAGAATAGATTGGTGATTGCCAGGGGCTGGGTGGTGAGATAGGTAGGGGAGATTTGATCACAGGGTACAAACTTTTGCATATGAAATAATTTCTGCTGGTTTCATGTACAGCATGGTGACTGTAGTTAACAGTATTGTATTGTACTGGATGGTTACTAAGAGACTAGACTGTCAATGTTCTCACCACAAAAAAGTAAATAAGAAAAACAAAAAGCATAATTATGTGAAGTGACGGTTGTATTAACTCTCCTTATGTTGGTAACCATTTCACAATATAAACGTAGATCAAATTATCACATTGTGTAAAACTTAAAACTTACACAATGTTATCTTTCAATTCTATCTAGAAAAAAAAAATGTTGCCATCATTTCCTTCTGGCCCCATGGTTTCTGAATAGAAATCCTCTCGGGTCGCCTGGGTGGCTCAGTTGGTTGGACGACTGCCTTCGGCTCAGGTCATGATCCTGGAGTCCTGGGATCGAGTCCCGCATCGGGCTCCCAGCTCCACGTGGAGTCTGCTTCTCTCTCTGACCTTCTCCTTGCTCATGCTTTCTCTCACTGTCTCTCTCTCAAAAAATAAATAAAATCTTTAAAAAAATCATAAGAAAAATTTTAAAAAAATAGAAATCCTCTGTCATTCGAGGTATTTTCCTCTCTGAGTAGGTGTGATTTTTCTTTCATCCTATGATATTCTTCCTTTTTCTTTAGTGCTCAGAAATGATAATTCGATGTGTCTTGACATATATTTCTTCAGGTTTATGCTGTTGGGGGTCTGCTAAATGTGAAAATTTTCAGCAATTACTTGTTCAAAATATTTTTCATCTCCAGCCTCTCTCCCCACTCTTTCTAGGATTCCAGTGGCACAAATGTTAGATCTTTTGTTTGGTCCCATGTATCCCAGATACTGTGGGGTTTTGTTATTGTTGCTTTTGAATTGGGGGTTTTGTTTTGTTTTGTTTTTAGCTTAGTTTCTCCTTTTGGTTTAGACTGGGTAATTTCTTGCGTTTGATCTTTCCTCCTTTATCCTTCCACTCTCCTCCTTCCAGATCCTTCTTAGCCAGCAACCCCATAGGGCATCCATATTATTACTTCAGGCCACTTCCCCAGCCACATTAAGTCAACGACCATTTGTGCTCTTTGAGCATCTACCTAAAAAACATCTTATTTCATTGTGGGATGGTATAGGAGCTGTCCAGTTTACCTTACATCAACATATGATGCCAATCTGGGCGGAACCTGGAGTCCTTTCTCTGCTATTAGCTGGTTGGCAGGCCCTATGTCCTTAATCAGATGTCTTAAGAAACAAAGACAAGAAAGCTATTACGATGCCGTTAAAAGTTTTTGTTATATGCATATTCTCCTGGAAACAGAACACACAACATGCCACCCGGCGATGCAGGTAGTACTGAGGTGAAAAGAGCAGAGAGAAGTAATGCTGGCCTGTATTTTTTACTGCATATTTCATGAGAAGTAATGGAGAAGCAAAGTCAACAAGCTACTTAGACATAAGATTGGAGAGTTTGGAAATTTCAGCAGGCTACAGACTCTAAGTGTGCCCCTTGTCCTCTGGTACCCAGGGGGGATTTGGGTAGAGGGAAATGTCACAGTTGCTGGTCTCATTGAAAGGAAGAGAGTAAGGATTGGGGCTCAGGATTGTCTGGCTTGCATATCAAACATATGCCCTTGGGCCAGTCTTTTACTGCCTCTAGGAATTAGCTAATTTTGGAAGAGGCAGTCCCTTCCTGGCTGGAGCAACAAGAATGCAGAAATAAGAAAATAAGAAATAAGAAAATGCATTAGATATAAAATCTCATGAGGCTGAAAATAGGAGCTTGTGCATGGGCGTTTGGACAAAAGTGGTGAGTATGGTGGTGATCTGAAACTTTTGTCCCATAAATTAAGTGTGCCTGCTGAATCTGCTTGGGTCCAATACTAAAGAAAATACTTTCTCCTTTCTGAGGTTGACTGCTGCTGGGCTCCACCCAATCTTACAATCTGGTGTGACCCTTCTTGTTTAGGATGAACAGCTCTGTCACACAGTTAATTGATGTGCTGTGGACAGGTCTACTGGGGCCTAAGCTATGCTGGGAACTACTTGTTGAACAGTGAATAGGTTGTTTTTGAGAAGGGCCAAGTCTTGCCAAAGAACCCGGAAGGCTAGCTACGAGTCTTCATCTGGGCTTGCCAGAGTGTCCACAATGTCCTTCCCGGACACAGATGCACATAAAGCCAACAATAGGAGAGGTCATAGGGCCCACATGATAGGGTGACTTCTATCGTGATCTAAACCCGATACAGAGTCCCCCCTGACCCTGCACCCACTCTATACTAGTGACTTCAAAACTAGCTGAAAAACAGAATGGTGTAGCTTATCCAAGTTTGGATTGTGTTGTCTCAACACTCATCAAGTTGCTGTGTTTCGACCTCAGTGGTCAGAGGTACAAGATACATGTGCTTTACCAATAAGGTGCTGTGTTTTAACCTCAGTGGTCAGAGATACAAGTTACAAGTACTTGTCCTTTACCTCGGAGAGGATGTGCCCACATTCCTCAGATATCTGGCCCCCTGACATAGCCACCAGGGAAGGGGGCCAGATGAATTTTTGTAGGGTTTGCATCCCACTGTTGGAGCACATGTATTTTTGCAAGTTAGGGAAGTCCTCACCATTTCTCACTCATGGTGTACAATTAACAGGATGTAATTGATAGAGGATGGCCTGGTCGCTTGCTCTGGGGGATGTTGATACAACACACTGTAGCAGAGAGCAGGGAGTTAACATAGCCCTGGGCCAAGACTGAGGATGTGACCCCTCTTCACTGCCTGTGAAAGGTAATTCCACCAGAGGACTGCATTACATCATATGCCATGCCCCCTGCTGGTAGACCTTGTATTTGGCCCAGCATGGGGTAACTGCTTTCAAAACCTCCACTTGGCCAGAAGAGGGAGACTTAACACACCCAGAGAAGAATGGGGCCCAGTGGGGAGATTCTTTTGACAAACTTAATTTTTGAGTACTTAAGCAATACGAATGCCCCATAATTTGCATATCTTCATCCTCTTAGATCTGAAGTGTTTTTGCCTCTCAGAGTCTTATACCAGAGTCTCTGGGTGTGTGGCATGAACACACTGGACCCATCAAAAGCAGCAAGATGGTAACTCCTACACAATTCTTGGCCTTCTGCTCCTCTGGGTTCCAGTGAGAATATTTGGGCAAAGGAGGTTAAAGTGGGGGTACAATTTTCCATCCCCAATTTTCTTTCTTCATTGGGAATCCTTCCACAGATGAATTTGGCTTTTTTTTTTTTTTTAAATTAGTATTCTCTGTCCTACCTAACTAGATACTGGTGACTTCCATATATCTATCCTGAGATGCTGTTGATGTTTCCTGTGTGGTTTCAGCCTCTCATGGTGAGATTGTGCTGACCCAGTCTCCTGCTGTCCTGTCCATGGCTCCAAAAGAAGGAGTCACCATCACCTGCTGGGCCAGTCAGAACATTAACAAGTGGTTAGCCTGGTATCAGCAGAAGCCAGGGAGAGCTCCTAAGCTCCTGATCTACGCAGCATCCAAGTTGGAAACTGGGGTCCCATCGTGGTTCAGCAGCAGTGGGTCTGGGACAGACATCACTCTCACCAACAGTAGCCTGGAGCCTGAAGATGCTGGGACCTACTACTGCCTGCAGTCTAATAGCTACCCACCCACAGTGTTACAGGTCAGAGCATAAACCGCCAGGGAAGCAGATGTGAGGGGCTGGACTGCCCCCACTGCTCCTCTGATGCCTGCACCTGCTCAGTTTCTCAGAGGCAGCCCCACTTTGGAGGTCACTGGGGGCTTTTGGAGAAGGGCAAGGAGGCTCCTTGACCTCCTGACTGACTCCCGTTCCCCCGGATCATTACACCCAAGGAGTGTGGGTCAAGGCTTCTGTTGTGGTTTATGCAGCAAAAGAGAAGCCACTCTAGATATTCCAAGCAGGAATTGCTTCCTATAAGGACGTAATGTTAAAAGATCACTCTTTCAAAGGCCTGGGGATATAATAAGAAAGATAGACACTAGAAACATTGATTCCTCAGTGATCCCCCATAAGTCAGAGAATTTATACCATTGGAGATGCAGGCTGCCTAACCACGTGGTCCTCAGGCCTGTCTAGGAGGGCCGGGGATGGAGGCCCTGATGCTCTAGCCACTGCGGACCCTCCCAAGGTGTCTCTGGTCCCTCAATTATCACTCACCTGCCTGCAGGTGCTGATGGAAGGCATTGAATCCTCCTCTTCTGACCTCCAGATCTAGGGTAAGGTGCCTTGTGAGCAACTCCCTAGGGAACTATAGAGGAAAGGGGGTTCTGGGAATCGTGCTTCCAGAAAAGATGGTGGTGATGGGGAGTTGACAGAAGACTGCCTGGGATGGTCACTATATTTACATCTCTCAGAAGTTGGCTAGTTAGGGGAAGGCCGCAAAATATGTTTGAATGTGCTTCTAGCTACCACCATTAGTCTGAATTCATAACAAGGAGATTTTGTGAATTGACTGAGGGCATAAAAGAATGAGGAAATTGTGTCATGTATATAGAAATAACTTGACAATGAAGGACTTCCGTGATTAAAAAAAACTAAATGTGGATGAAGCATTGTTTTTTCTTAGTATAAGAATACCTTGTTGCTTAAAATTCTCTATTAACAAGAGCATCATCAACAACCCTGAAAGCTTGTGACAATTGCAAAATAGCTGTCTCCACCTGACACCTACTCACATGGCTCTCCATTTTCACAAGATGGCAGGAGAGCTGTGGGAGCTTTAAGATGTTCTGTTGTACAGCATTTTTATTTATCCTAAAGTAGTCTCTTTAGTTTTCTATTTTCGTTAAAGACATTTCTATTGAAAGCCACCTGTTCAATTAAAGCCATAGGTCGAAAATCCCCCCAATTTAACTTTCTAATTCATACAAAATTAAATTACAAACTTCTTTGTAGACTGAAAATATTGAAAAATATAACTATTTGGAAACAACATGACCATGTTTCTGAAAAATTAAATAGAATAGTGATTTGTAGAAATTCAAGAATTACAAAGACCACAGTAAGAATAAATCAAAATTATATGCAGATCTGTCAGGATAACTGGACTTAGATTTGCTTGTTTTCTGGCTTCTGTATCCTCCTACAGCTTGCCATGAGAATGATGTGCCATGGGTAGTCACCACACTCTGTCTTGGACCCAGATCAACCACAATCCATAGGCTGAAGAACCATTCTTCTCCCTGCACAAGAACCTCACAGCTGAGCCCTCTGTGCATTATCCAAATTATTGTCAACATGAACATCCATGTCTATAGAAACAAATGCTTAGTATGACAAGCCACTGAGTTTTTTACTGGTTTGTTAAAATAGTGTGTAAAATCACACTAGTACAATTTTTATACATCTTCACATAGAAATTGAGAGCTTTTATTAAACACAATGGCATAAAAAGGAATACTTGGAAAGCCATTCATAAGAAGGTACAAAACAACGAAATGTTTCTAAAAATATTTGAATTAAAGGTGTAAAATACACCCCATTGGAGAAACATCTAACTGAGATTACTTTGAGTATGAGTGACAAATTGTGTAGATCATACAGACTTATTAAATGTGATTAAATCTAAAGTTCATTCATATATATTCATTCATATATATGTGAATGTATGTCCATATGTACAATATACATGTAGATACAATCCTCACAATCAACTAACACCTCCATCAGGCTGACACACGCAGAATCGTCAGGTTATGTCCCTGCACTTTGTAAATTGATGCCCCAAGCAGCTCTGACCCTGTACCCTACTCCACAGTGACTGTGATTCCCCAAAGACCCCAGAAAATGTCTGTCATAGGTATAGGTGACCTCTAGACATTCAAACGGTTACCCATTTCTTGCTAGTCTCACCTACACAATCTCTTCTTGAACTGCAGAGTCATGGATGTGAATGCCAAGCATAAAACCCAAGGGAGAGACACAACTTCTCACAGAGCTAACAAGGAACCAGAACCCCTGATAGCAACTGTTTACACAACATGAGGAAGCCTCTGTATGGGAAGGGGTCTTCTGCGCATCATAGGAAAAAGATAATTGAGAGGAAACATTACACAATGAAACATTATTCTTCTGTCCCATCCTCTTAGAAGTGCTTCTCTAAGAAATTTCTTTATTGTTATGGAGTATGTGTGTGTATCTATTCGTCTGAATGTCTGTCTGTGTGTCTTTCTGGAGAGAGAGAGAGAAGTATGACCGATACTCACCAGATTGTAACAAATGGTGAGCACAAACGACATCCTCACTGGCAGAAGCATAAATTCTGTCTTTGTCCCTATTCTCTTCCCCAGGACTATGAGTTCTCTACTTGCAACTGAGAGATTCCTTCCAACCCCTGTAGGTTTTTTACATTCATCTTCACATAGAGTATAATTCAGGAGGTCCAGGATGAGTTTAATTCATTTTAAATCATTATTGAATTGTTTTAAACCATTAACCTGAAAGCACCAAATCCCAAATGGAGACTCATGAACCATCTCCAAATCATCCTGGGATCTGGAGATTGCCGGTCAATCAGCTGGAGAGGGACTGGGACCTGTTTCCTCCTGGTCATTAGCTGACAGGAATCCAAGCAGGATGGCCATTCACCTCCCAGAATGGACTCTGGACACACCTGCCTGTATCGTCAGGGTCTCTGGAGCTTTCTCAGAAGGAAGGGGTATGAGCACTGTGTCCTGCCACAGATCCCGATTATCTCAGGGAGATCCTGCTTCCCACGAAGGCAGTAGGGAATTTTTCTCTGTTATGTTTCCTCCAAACACAGAAGTTACTGCTCTCCCAGGAGAGGGACCTGCACCCTGCCTTTGGCCCTTTCCACTCTGCCACACCCACCACGGGATTTGCATATTATCCCCTGGGGAGGACCTTGCCTTGGAAGTCTGACATAAAAGTCAGCTCTGAGCTTGTGTTTACTTACTAGGACTTGTCAGTTCAGCTTCTCAAAATGAGGTTCCCATCTCAGCTCCTGGGGCTGCTGATGCTCTGAGTCCCAGGTAAGAGCAGAAGGAGGATGAGGAAGGAGATTGGGGTGGGGAGGGTGAGCTGTCTGGGTGCTGTTAGTCCCTATGTGTGTTCTGTCCAGGGATGAGATTGCCCTCAAATAGGGGAATTTAGTTTTGAGATAGTGAAAGCTATGAGGAAACTACAGGAAATGAAGAACAGTGCTTTAGTGAGATGCTGAAAGAAAAAAATGTGGCCACTGTGTGCCTTGCAATTCTTGGGTTATCCATGGAATTTGGACATATTTAGAGTATGAATCAAATCACAAAATATGATTTAGCCTAATATAAATGAAATTTAAATTCTTAATAATGGCTCATAATGTTTCTCCATAACCTGTACTTATTTCTCATTATTTTAGGATCCAGCGGGGAGGTCGTGCTGACACAGACCCCGCTCTCACTGCCTGTCACCCCCGGGGAGCTGGCCTCCATCTCCTGCAGGGCCAGTCAGAGCCTCATACACAGTAATGGAAACACATATTTGAGTTGGTACCTGCAAAAGCCAGACCCGTCGCCACAGCTCCTCATCTATAAGGTTTCCAACAGTTTCACTGGGGTCCCAGACAGGTTCAGTGGCAGCAGGTCAGGGACAGATTTCATGCTGACAATCAGCAGGGTAGAAGCTGATGATGTAGGGGTTTATTACTGCGGGCAACTTACACATGATCCTCCCGCAGTGGTTCAGCCCGCAGCACAAACCTCTCTGTTTGGTGGTCCCCACTGGGCACGTGTGTTGCCTGAGCAGGGAGCCAGCACAGCAGAGGCTCTGAGCTGGTGTCAGAGGCAGGTGCTGGGGAACGCAGGGCAGTAATATGCAGCTGAGTGCTCTGGACCGAGTCCTGGCCCCTGGGTGCCAACAGCCTCAGCGGGGCACAACCAGCTCTGGAAGGGACATGATCATTCTGCGGTCTGAGTGGTGAGCTGCCAGGGAGAGCTGCCCTGAACCTCACCCTGCCCCTCCCGGCCTGTGTGCGTGGGTCAGGGACAGTTAACCAGTGTGAGCATCAGAAACCTGAGCCTTTCATGGCACAATGAGAAGTTCCATACATTTTTGTGCTAACAAATTTTGTGATATTTTCAACAGGATAATATTTGGTATCATTCAGAAATTAGTATGTTTTCCATTTCCACTCTCTCACCTTCTTCCTTTCCCAGTTACACTAACTGCTCATGTACAATGTTGTCCATGGAAAAAGGATATCCATTTTCATACAACATACATAAAAAACATCATTCAAATAGGCTCCACTTTTAAACATAAAACAGCAAATCTTTAACCCTGTACAAGAAAATACATTGCAGAATATATTGAGAGAGGAGTACAGAGTAGGAAGATCAGGTCCAGGAAAGCATATCTGGTTTCCATTCCTAATTCTTCTGATTCGGAAAGGGTCCTGAAAGCAGTAACTTCCAATCACATCAATTATAGAGCTATTCGGGCACCATAAAATGAAACCAAAACCCACAGTCTTGAGCCCCCACACTAGGACCTTAGTAGTACCTTACTAGAGTAACCCCGGGGAAGGAGGTTCCACAGCACCGGGTGCATGCCAACCCCATACACAGCACCTTGGCCTCTCAAAGCTGACCCCAGTGTTCTTGTCTCAACACAAGGAGGGGCTTGATGCTCATGATAACCTCTTTGTCCTTTAAGGTAGGTCAACTGTACAAATATTGTAGCATTCAAACCAAAGTGACAAGATATTCTGTGGCCTTGGGGTGGGAGGGGGTAAGAAAGAAATAAATCTCAAGCACAGATAATTCCTTTTAAAAATGGAGGGGAATTTGGGGATTGAGAAACAGTACTTAACTACAGTACTTCAGTTACTTAAAGTTGCTGTCCCTGGAAATTCTTCCCATTGGGGGCTCAAAGGGATCCTAAAATCTACCAAACTCCTTCTCACCATTTCTCAGGATCCTCCCAGTCCTCGCCCTGTGTATCCCTTCATCTAGCTCTTTGACTGGATCCTTTCTCATATCCCTTAGTAAACTGGTAAACATAAGTAGGTTAGTCTCTGAGTTCTGTGAGCTGCTTTAGGAACCTAATCACACCTGAGGAGGGAATCATGGAACCCTGTGTCTGCAGCTGGTCGAGGACAGGGGCTCCTTCTCTGTACCCTCCCTCCCATTAGATGATGACACTCTTGATGGGCTAGTCCTTCTCAAGCTAGGGTCTCCATGCCGCCCTGTAGAGCCACAGGCAGCGGCTCTGGAGGATGAAGTGTGGACACAAGCCACTGAGAGCAGACCCAGAGACAGTAGGCTGTGCCCCTGAGGAAACTCCCTCTTGAAAGTGCTTGGTGTCCTCCATACAGCTTGTCAGCGACCGCCACTTGGCTACAGTGCACTGGAGCTTCTCCATCCCCGGGTGGTTCCTTGTGCCCAGTGTTTGGGACAGTAGGGACACCCCCTCCACAATGTGCAAGGACAGCAGTCTCCTCCCTAAGCATACATATGGGATGGATATAGACCCAGATTGGAGGTCTTTCCTTAACAAAGCTAAAGTCATTTTTCTTTCCTGTCAGAAACTTTAAAAATTCCTTCAATAAAAATCCCAAGTCCCAGAGTGATGACAAAAATAATGTGATAGACACTCTATACATTCCATGAAGAATGCATGTGAAAATAAAAATAAAAATGAAAGTGAGGGAATCTGAGGAGAAAGGAGGAACCACTATGAAAAGGCCTGCGCCTCTGGCAGGTGCATCACGTGTGCATGATGGTACAGCAGGAGAGGAAGCGATGATATCCTCAGGAAGGATCTAACCCGTGTGTCCCCAGGCAGGTCCGCTCTGGAGGGCAACTGCAGGGCTGCATCCCACAGGGAGCTAGCTTAGTCTTTTGTTCTAATGCATCCAAGTTCCACTCTGCCTCGGCATTCTCTTTCCGGAGGTGGTGATGTCAAGAACATTCCACAGCCAGTGCTGCACATGCTTTATTCGATGTGAGTCTGCTTTCCAGGGAACAATGAGTGTGACCAGTGACGTCAGAGAGTAGCACAGACCACATGGTCAGAATAACCTGCACAGGCAGAAGCTGTCCATTTTCCAAAATGCACAGGGACAGAATGATGTCAGAAAGAGAGAATGTGGCAGTAGATAATTGAGCATATCTTATTAGAAATTAAGTCAATATGCTGACCCTCAGAGTATTTTGTCTCTCTAATTGGCAAACTCTAGTTCAGGGTTGCTGAAACCTAAAGTCACAGCTTCGGACTCAGTTCCTGGACCTAAGTCAGTTCCTACTCTCAAGCACATTGACTCAGGGGAAGGCCAGTTCTCAAAGGAAAGACCTTAAGGTTTCGCTATAGATGTATTGAGAAAATCTTGCTTCCTTATTTTCCCTAAGGAACTCGGGACTCAGAATGTGTCCTCTCTGCCCTGATAAGAGAGCTCTCTGTTAGAAGGACACATGGGGGAAAGCAGTGCTCTGGCGTAGGAGACAAGGGAGCAAACTTTCTGCAGAGAAAAAGCAAATACACAAACAAAGAAACAGTCCATCTCAAATTAAAGCAGTGGAAGAGTATTTCTTAACTGACAAGAAAGCAGTAGGAGTCCATGAGAACTCCTCAGGACAGAAGTTCCATCCCTCACAGGAGACACTTTGGGGTTGGGGATGCAAATTGCTACACAGAGTTAAACGTCTATTAAATACAGGGATTATGAAGTGGCCTGTGCTCAAAGGGAACTTCTGTCTCACTTTCCCCGGTTAGAGTGTGGTGATTAGGGGCCCTGACCAAGGATTAGCATCGATACAAGAATAACCGTCACATCCGACATAAGACATTGCTCCCATTTCTTCAAAGGACTCACAGGAATTTCAGTCCTACAAAAGTCATTTAGTTATTTACTTCTTCCAAAAGAACAAAGAAGAGAAATGACAATATTGGGAAGGAATTCAGATGACGTATATGGAGACCAGACCTTTGAAATATCTTGATCATTGAATCTCATAAATGACCTGCTTCACTTGGTTCAGAAATAATTTATAAAGTCAGAAGATCAACACATTCACATATATATGTGAGCTGCCTGGAGCCAAAATTACTCTCCGTGCGTTCATCCTCTAGTGGATATTTGCAGTTATATAGAAAAGGTGACCCATTTCAGTCACAGGTCTCAATAATCTACCCAACAGACCTCCTGTTGGAGACCCTCCCTCTGCTGGGAGGCAGAGAGAACTTCCATTTGGGCTCAATCAGGACACAGGTCTGTTGTCTCTCAACTTCAACAAAGCATTTTAAGTTTGTGCTGTTTGGCTGAGAAAATGTATAGATCGAGTTCTACAGAATGTTTAAGAGCATCACACTCCCCACCCACACACCCTGACCCCAGAATAATGGACTCACAAAAACAAAGTCGCAAGAGAATCGTCCCAAGGGACACAAATGACACATTGGCTTCCAGTTTTATGAATTCCAAAGGGACATCCCCTGGCAAAGAGACAAAAGTGCAACGAAACCCCCCTGTGTAAGTCCTTGCTCCTTGAGGTGACAGTGGTCAAGATTAGAGACTCCTAGAGTCCTGTTCCCCACCTGGACCTCATGGAGGTTCTTCTTACATCCCTTACAGATGCCGATGATTTCTGTGTGGTGTGCAGTGACCAACGTTGATGAACTCACTTTCATTGTCTAGGGTACAAAAAAGTTCCTACATACACAGGAGATAAAGACTCCTCTTAGGAATTAGGAACAGTCTTTCATCAGTCCACAGGTAGCAGAGGAAAATTTCAAAGTCTTCTGTGTCAAGAAAGAAGCTGTAGAAGGTTTTTGCATTTTTTAGGTATTTCAGGGCAAGAAATTATGAGATAAGCAACCAAACACAGAAGGAGACTTTTAAAGCTTTTATGTTAAGTTTTGTAGGAAATATTTTTGAAGTTCAATGTTTGTAGGAATACGTTGTACAAAAAATAGTTTCAAAACTGATACACAGTAAATAAACATGGTGGATGAATAATTTTCAGCCAAATTTCCACACATCGAGGTTTCACATATGGTGATGGGTAATGTGATTCTGATTTCCTTAGTATATTTAACACAGTGTTAGATATTGTGATTCTTAATTTAACATGTGTAATGAATAGTTTCCAAACTCATCTTAAGATTTATGATATTATCTTATATTGTCCTTTTTGTTTTTTTCCTGATTTTATTCATTTCCACTGGTTTAACTTTCTGAATCATTCACCAGCAGGAATCATTAGGTGGGCCGGCATGTTCAAGAATAAGATTCAGGATTGCTTGGCTAGCACTCTAAGAAAAGATTAAGGGAGAAAACACATGAAAGAGTAAACAAAATAACAACTAGTAACATACAGGACATGGACTATTAGTCCTAATTCTATCACAACTTGTCATCAGCACCCAAGTCCCTCCATAGAGTTCAGGGTTTACTTACAGTACAATTGTTACATAATATTCTTCTAACTCTGGTACAAAATCGCACTCTAGGCGGAGTTCCAAGAAGATATTCAGACCGAGATTTGTTGTGTATCTTGCCTGGACTTGCATGTATTCGGTAACTCTTCAATTCAGTATGACCTTGGATTTGAATTCCCTGAGATCTAACAGAACTACAAATTCTATTCCTTCAGTTTCTCCAGGACTTTGTTTGCCCGACAGTGACTTGAGTTGTGAGGTAATTTAAGGCTGACACAAATCGCACCAACAACTGACTAACACCTACATCAGGCTGACACAGGCAGAATCATCAGGTTATGTCCCAACTTTAATGAAGGATGGTTGGTAAACTGATGTCCCAAGCAGCTCTGACCCTGCACCCTATTCCACAGCGACTGTGGTTCACCAAAGACCTCAGAAAATGTCCGTCAAAGGTAAGGGTGATGCCAAATTATTAGAAGTTTTATCCCAGTCCTTGCTATTCTCACCTACAGAATCTTATTTTCAACTATAGACTCAGAGCTGCGGATGCTGAACATAAAATCAAGTGAGAGACAACAACTTCTCACGCAGAAACTAACAAGGAACCAGACCCCCTAACAGAAATTGGTTACACATGATGAGGAAGCCTCTGTATGGGAAGGGGAAACATTATTTTCTGGGAAATGGGAAACATTGTTCATTCTGTCTAACCACTTAGACAATGTTGACTTAAGAAATCACTTTGTTTGATATGCTGTGTGTGTGAGTGTGTCTACCTTATCTAATATGTACCATATGGTACGTATGTTCTATCATCTGTCTGTCTTGCCTACTATCCACCTATCCATCTATCAGTCTCTCTGGGGAGGGAGACAGAATTATGACAGGATACACACCAAATTGTAACGATCGGTTACCACAAACTTCATACACTGCCTAAAGCATATAATTCTGTCTTCTTTCCTATTCTCTTCTGCAGGACTATGAGTTCTCCTTGTGTAAGTGAGAGATTCTTTTCTACCTGTCAAGTTCCTCTCACTTTCATCTTCTCAAAGAGTAGATAATTCACAAGGTCCCAGGGTGAGTTTTATTCATTAATAACTCATTAATAAATTGCCTAAACCATTAACCTGGAAACAGCAGATCCCAGAGACTCCTGAACTCTCTCCAGTTTATCCTGGGATCTGGAGATGCTGGCTAATCAGCTGGAGTGGGACCTGCTTCCTCCTGGACATTAGCTGACAGGAAACCAGGCAGGAAGGCCATTCACCTGCCAGAAATGGGCTCTGGACACGCGTACCTATATAGTCAGGGCCTCTGGAGTTTCTCAAAAGGCAAGTCTCTGAGCACTGTGTCCTGCCACAGATCTGATTATCGCAGGGAGATCCTGCTTCCCACACAGGCAGAAAGGAATTTGTCTCTGTTAGTTTCCCTGCAAGCACAGAAGCCATTTTAAGTTACTGCTCTCCCAGGAGAGGGACATGAGCCCTGCCTTTGGCTCTTTCCTCTCTGCCACACCCACTGCGGGATTTGCATATTGTCCCCTGGGGAGGACCTTGCCTTGGAAGTCTGACATAAAGGTCAGCTCTGAGCTTGTGTTTACTTACTAGGACTTGTCAGTTCAGCTTCTCAAAATGAGGTTCCCATCTCAGCTCCTGGGGCTGCTGATGCTCTGGGTCCCAGATAAGAGCAGAGGGGGAGGAGATCGGAGATTGGGGTGGAGAGGGTAAACTGTCTGGGTGCTGTTAGTCCCTATGTGTGCTCTGTCCAGGGGTGAGATTGCCCTCCAAGAGGGGAATTTAATTTTGAAATCTGTGAAAATTATGAGAAACTAAAGGGAACAAAGAACAATGTTTTAGTCAGATGCTGAAAAAAAAAAAAAATGTGGCCACTCTGTGCCTTGCAATTCTTGGGTTATCCATGGAAACTGGATATATTTACAGTAGGAATCCAATCACTAAATATGATTTAGCCTAATATAAGTGAAATTTAAATTCATAATAATGGCTCATAATGTTTCTCCATAACCTGTACTTATCTCTCATTGTTGTAGGATCCAGTGGGGAGGTCATGCTGACACAGACTCCACTGTCCCTGTCTGTAAGCCCCGGAGAGCCGGCCTCCATCTCCTGCAAGGCCAGTCAGAGCCTCGTACACAGTAATGGAAACACCTATTTGATTTGGTACCTGCAGAAACCAGGCCAGTCCCCACAGCTTCTCATCTATAAGGTTTCCAACCATTTCACTGGGGTCCCAGACAGGTTCAGTGGCAGCAGATCAGGGACAGATTTCACTCTGACCATCAGCAGGGTGGAGGCTGACGTGGGAATTTATTACTGTGGGCAAGGTACACATTTTCCTCCTACAGTGGTTCAGCCCCAAACACAAACCTCTCTGTTTGGCGGTCCCCACTGGGTTCGTGTGTTGCCTGAGCAAAGAGCGGGCACAGCAGAGGATCTGAGCTGGCATCAGACGCAGGTGCTGGGGAACTCAGGGCAGTAACATGCAGCTGAGTGCTCTGGACCGAGTCCTGGCCCCTTGGCAGCAATAGTCTCAGTGGGGCACAACGAGCTATGGAAGGGACATGACCAGCCTGTGGGCTGAGCAGTGAGTTGGCAGGCAGAGTTGCCATGAACCTCAACCTGACACTCCTGGCTTGTGTGTAGGAGTCAGGAACAGGTACGTACTCAGCCTGAGCGTCAGAAACCTGAGGCATATTTGTGGCAACACAATTATATACATTTTTGAGCTAAGAAATTTTGTGATATTTTCAGTAGGATAATATTTGATATTGTTCATAACTTATTATTGCTTATTTTCCTACTCTCTGAATTTCTTCTATCCCAGTTACACTAACTGTTTTTGTGCTATATTCTCTAGATAAGATTCTATACACACTAACCTCACAGGAAATATGGCTCAGAAGGATTAGAAAAACTTTTTCTTCAAGCTCCCAAACAGATTTGTAAACCCATAGCAGATATAAGCTCCTAATCCTGAAAAGACGATGTCCACATATACAATGAAATATTACTTTGCCATAAAAAGAATGAAAACTAGCCATTTGGCACAACATGGATGGACCAATAGGGTATTGTGAGGTGAAGTAAATCCAGAGAAAGGCAAACATCATAGGATTTCATTTATATGTAGAAAGATGTAGAAATAAGTAGAAATCTGGATGCCTGATCAAGGTCCTGACTTTGCCATTCAAATTTTAATCCAGAGAAAAAAATCTCACGAAGGAGAAAACACTAGATCTCGGTCTATCCTTGTGCTGGAACCAATACACATCATTTTTTCCCCAATATATTTTTAACATTTAAAAAAAAAAAAAAAGACTTCTAGTGCAAAACCAGGAGCAAAGAGTGGGCTGCTTTAGTCACTAGAAAATATTTTAAGTTTGGAAAGAACAGCAAAACATTATAAGAGGGAGGCAAACAAAAAATATGGAAGATGGGAGAGATAAAGGACTCACAACCTGGACACCTTCTCCCTCAACACTCATCCTCTAAACCACTGAGATGCGCAGTAGCCCACGTCTCTTCTAAAAGTGCCCTGAGCTTCTTTGTTTCCTGGGCAGCCTGCTCACCGAGCTTCTGTAGCCACCTTCAGCCTCTTCTAGACTTCTAGGCCTGCCCATAAAGTGGAAGAACAGCGTTTGAAATCAAGATACATAGGCTATGCCACTCTAGGATCACTCCTATGGCAGACAAACACCAGCCCCAAAGTCTCTCCTGGTTTCTGGAATATTTTAGCTCCCGCCTCCTAGAGCCTCTCACAGCCTGTCACAATTCCCGGTGGTTTCAGTGTACTCAGTATATGACCTTCCATTACCTGCTCTCTCAGGTGTTTGGCTGATCCTCCTCCAATTGTCTCTTCCCCACCCAGTCTTGATCAGTCACTCTCGTGGCCATGCCTTAGGTGCGCCATCAGAAAATCATGACGAGTTCTCCACCATTACAATGCTGAGCATCTCAGGGGTGCCTAGGTGGCTCAGTCAGTTGAGCCTCTGCCTTCAGCTCAGGCCATGATCCCGGGGTCCTGGGATGGAGCCCTGCTCAGCGGGGAGTCTGCTTCTCTCTCTCCCTTTGCCACTCCCCCTGCTCATGAGCGCAGGTATGCTTGCTCTCTCTCTCTCTCTCTCTCTCTCAAATAAATAAATAAATAAATAAAGGTTTTTTAAAAATGTTGAGTATCTCAGCCTTGACCCATTCTAAGAACTCTGCAGCTCAATCCACTGGGTATGCCACCGCCAATAATTTCTGGCTTTCATTACAGTAAGACCTGAAATCTATAGGAAAAATATTTGTTGTGTTTCCATGGAAAATTTGGCATCTCTGTAGCGTACCTTTCCAGGTTATCAGGGTCCAACCCAGTCATTTTCTTTGATCTATCTTGCAACTTTATAAACTGTTGGATGATTCTGTACTGTCTGGTAATGACTTAGTCGACACCTTACCTCACCTTGGAGAACCAGCTTGCCTTTCTCTGCACTTCATTCCTTTACTCCATATATATCTGTGTGTTTTGACTTTTCCTTTGAACCAGTTACATCTTCTTAGTTCCCTCATAGCATATGAGTAAAATAATTCAACACGTGTTCATCATTACTATCTCTCAATGAGAGTCATAATTTTACTGTTTTCTGAAAATTAGCTTTTAATGAATCAATTCACCTTCCTATATTTTCTCATCTTTAAGCCTTTCATAGTCTCATTTCCCTCCTTCCTCAGCTGAATTCTATGATCCTTCTTTATAACAACTCCCTATACGCAAGATCTTCCTCAACCTTCCATTGTTTCATTTCATGTAACAAAGTCCCAAACCTCCACATGCCTCCTGGAGAAAAACACACAGCAATCCCGACGGCTCCAACTTTGATTCATGACCACTCACCTCCTGAGGCCCTTCATCCTGCCCCACAATCATACTTCACTTCCCTGGTCTTGTCAATCTTCACTTTAACTCTTTCCTTCTTCAGGTTCTAACAGCTTCTCCCCCATCCTCACTTAAAGCCAAGTATGCCATTTCCTATTTCCTAGGTCAAGATGGTCAGCACCCTCCCCCAACTAGAATTGTGAAAGAGAGGAAAGAAATGTGAGCCTTTCTACATCAAGAGCATCCGTTGACCTTCCTGGTTCAACCAACTTTAAGCATACGAGCAACCCAGGCAAGATCAATCAAGATCCATCAAGCCTGGGCCCATATTAGCAGAACTGCGCAGCCAACCAATAAACATGACAACAACAAACATGCTACCATTTTAAGCCACTGTATTTTGTGGGTGATTTATCAAATGATGTTAGCTAACTAATACATCATCTGATTCTAAGTTTCTGCTCACTCTTACTCGGCAAGCTTTTATTCCCTTTCTTCCTTCACTTTTCTTTATAGCCCCTCCAACAGAACACAGTAAATGTTTACTGATGTCGTTGATTATCGCCTGGCTCTCCCAGCTGGGGCAAAAGCAGATGTCTTTGCTCTGGACTCAGAGGAAGCCCTCAAAAAACATACCTTGAATGAGAGAAATGGATCCCTTAATAGCGATCCTTGAAGTAGATTTCTAATTATTAAGAGAAGCTGTTTTGTAGGTAAAGGCATTTGGAGCACACTGACCAAGTTTGCTGCTGTCTTTCCTGAAGCTAAAGTGCATCAACCCATATATTTCAGAAGGAGGTGAGGAAATAATACTAAGATGCTCAGAATTTCTCCGTTTTCACACAGAATTGGACATGCTCATGAAATGTTTTCCAAGCGACTCAAGTTATGGCACACTTCGAGCCCTGATTTCCTTCAGTCACAAGATTAGTCATGAATGCCCAAGGGAATACTTTAAAGATAAATGTGACAAGTGGTATAAAAAGGTGCTGAGGTACAGCATCCTGTGTTCCAAAAGTGACAGGGTTGAAGAGTGAGGGCATCAGAGTGCCTGGGTGGTTCAGTCTGTTGATCGTCCAACTCTTGATTTCAACTCAGGTCATGACCTCAGGCATGTGAGATGGAGCAGGCATCAGGTCCCCACTCAACAGGGTGTCTGACTGAGATTCTCTCCATCTCCCTCAGCCCCTCCACCCAGCAATAAATAGATAAAATCTTTAAAAAAAATGAATGAAAGAATTGCCTTTGTGAGAATGAGTACACCTGGGAGAAATGGAGAAGAGAGAGAAGGGAGGTAGGAAAGGAGCTGGAGCAGAAATGAATGTGCAGGAAACAGGGCCCATGGAAGGAAAAAGCGAGAGGGACACTACCTTCCATGTGTGAGATTCTGAATACGAAAGCTCAAAGATTTCACCCTGAGAAGGTTCAGAGTGGGAGGGTGATGGAGGGTGAGGAAAAGAGAATGAGGAAATAAAAGAGAAATGTCCCAGAGTCCAAGAGGAGCAGGAATGGAGAACTGATCTACCAGGTGGAAAGTTCACAGCCCTTTGTCAGAGGCTAAAGACAGACCTTCCTGACTCACTCCTGCCATGGGTTCCTGGGAAACACACAGCTTCCTGGGGCACAAAAACTCCCAACAGCATGAAGACATCTTCACAACATTTGTCTTCATTAACTTCCCACAAAAAGGGATGCAGGAGGGATGCCTGGGTGGCTCAGTGGGTTAAGTGGCTGCCTTCAGCTCAGGTCATGATCCCAGCATCCTGGGATGGAGTCCTGCACTGGGCTCCCTCCTCAGTGGTGAGCCTGCTTCTCCTCTGCTTCCTGCTCCCCCTAATTCAGCTCTCTCTCTCTCGGACAAAAGAAAAAATAAAATATTATTTTTTAAAGGGTCTGAGAATGCAGGAAAAGTCCACTCCCTTCATTTTCTGCAGGGCCTTACAAGCCCTCTAAGGAGTAAGTCAGGAGAAGTGACTTCTCAGGCAGATAGGGGAACAGAGAGTTTCAGGGCTAAGCGGGAAAGAAGCATCTGGTGCAGCAGAGCCTCACTGACCTGCGGCCCCGGGGAGCAGTTTGTGTTCGAGGCTGAAGCACTGTGGGCGGAGAGCTATAATGATGCTGGCAGTAATAGTTTCCCACATCTTCAGCCTGGAGGTTGCTGATGGTGAGGGTGAAGTCTGTCCCAGACCCACTGCCACTGAACCGGTCTGGGATGCCCGGGGCCCTGCTGGATGCATAATAGATGAGGAGCCTGGGAGCCTGCCCAGGTTTCTGCTGGTACCAGGCTACATAGTTGCTAACACTCTGACTGGCTCTGCAGTTGATGGTGACCCGTTGACCTGGAGACACAGCCAGGGAGCCTGGAGACTGAGTCATCGTGATGGCCCCATGGGCACCTGCAATCAGAAAAATGGTGATACAGACACACTTTATCCCAGTCACACTGAAATATGTCATTGCAAACATGCTTCCTAATGGTACCACATGGCAGTACATCATTGGGTCTATTTTGGAAATAACCAGTGATTCTCATTATATATCTTAAAAAGTTGATTAAAATGACACTACTCCAGAAGGATTTTGGCACTTTTCAGCTTCTCACCTGAGACCCACAGCAACAAGCAGAGGAGGACCTGCCTCTGTGACACCATCTTGCTGCCCCTGCCTGCCCGACACAGCTCAGCTCACATAGCAAAGGCCCCTTTTATACAGCCTGAGCCACTGGTCTGGGCCTGGAGGAGCTTATGCAAAGCAGTCAGGGAGAACAGAAGCAAATCTCATAAGCAGTGGGTTGTGAAAGTACCCAGTGGAAATGTAAGGAACCAAAAATAACTCCAAAATAGAGTTGTATAACAGGAATACACAAAAGTCAACTTAGAAGCTCTGAGAAAAACTTAGTTCTAAAATGACAAACTGCTACAAGATCGAATGAAAAGCTTCCATTATCAATTTAAAAATGTCTTTAAATGGGTTCAGTTTCCAGAAATGATGACATTGGCTCTTCATATCAAAAACTGTGGTAAGGAGCGCCTGGGTCGCCAGCGGGTTAAAGCTCTGCCTTTGGCTCAGATCATGATCTCAGGGTCCTGGGATGGATCCCCGCATCAGGCTCTCTGCTCAGTGAGGAGCCTGCTTCCCCCGCTCTCGCTGCCTGCCTCTCTGCCTACTTGTGATCTCTGTCAAATAAATAAATTAATTAAAAAAAAAACCATAGTAAAATAACAAAATATGCTGGGAAACAAATAATGGGAGGCACGGAGGGGCAAAAGAATTGGAAGGCACAAAAAGAAAGTAGAGAACTTTGGGTCCAACTTTTTATAAAACCTCTGACTGGAAAACATCGAATTCTGAAGCCATTTTTCTCCTGCAGATGAGTAAGGATGAGGTAAAAACTTGAGTTCGGGTCCCGGAGCTGTGCAAGGCCAGAGAGATGGAATAGATGGAAGACAGGCCCAGAATTTCCTCACTCGGGTAGACATGTGGGACCCTCATTGGACCTAGGGGAACTCTGAACCCTCATTTTCAGTTATTTTATCTTTTCAGTTCAATATTTCTGTTTTGTGTTGAATTAACTAATGAATGAAATCTAGTTGCCTTCAAGAAATTTCAGTTCCCTCCAGTGGTTTGAGAAGTCAGTGCAGGGTTGCTTGGGCACCATAAAAACTTCCTGCACCTGTTCCTCGTCCTGCTGTTTCTTCTTAAACAGAGGGAAGGGGGCAGGGTTGCGATTCCCTTAAGACGCAGAGCATGTAGTCCCCATGAGGAGGGCAGAGGCTGTGGAGGCTTCGGGCACACTGCAAGTCCAGCTACAAAATTTCCGCCATCTTTCCTCTGAGGCCTCCTCTGTCAGGTGGCACCCTGGCTGCTCCGTGTGTCGCTGTGGCTGCTGCACCGCTTCATGACATGAGCCATTTCCTAAGACCCAGGTAGAGCCTGTATCATGTAGACCCTACCTGGGGAGCCACACCTCACCCTCACGAAGGGTCGATTCTCCAAAAACTCCGCCCCTCAATTTGCCCCTGTTGAAGGTTAATTTTATGTGTCAACAAGTAGGCTAGGGCGCCTACTGTCCATTTAGATGTTGCTGCCAAGGTATTTTTTAGTGTGATGAACATCTACATCAGTAGCCCTTATCACAACACAGAGTCCCCACCTGTGCTGCACAAAAGATTGAGCCACAGGTCAGTTTTGGCTTCAAAAAGGAAAGAAAACTTTATTATTATTATAGAAAAAACAATAGAAACAGAAGAGGAATGGAATCTACACGTGTAGGAAGGGAATAGTAGGCAACAAATGAGAATAAGGGCACTTTACTTCATATCAGGTACTTACAACACCCCACCTCACCAGATGGGGATGCCCAGTGGAGACACACAGGCCGAAGTCCCGACTGAGAGGCCTGGGCGGAGTGTCCTTGCCCTGGGGACACTTCCAGTGGGCCATCCCCACAAGGGCCATAAATTTATAGGGCAAATAATAGGGTTTGAAATTAAAAATTTGTTCACCTATGTGCAGTTTGGAGCAAGCTGCATGTCCACATTATCATGTTTCTGTATTTTCAGGGAGCCTAAGCTATGTGCACCTGCCTCCCCTCCTGGATCCCATTCTGGGCACTGGAGCAGGAGGGGATTGGAGACAAGGCTGTAGCTCTTGGCATCCAGAACAGAAGGTCTGTACCTAGAGGCTGATATCCCTTATGAATACAGAGGCAAAAATCCTCCACAAAATATTAGCAAACCAAATTCAACAATACATTAAAAGGATCATATACCATGATCAAGAAGGATTTAGTCTAGAGATACAAGGATGGTTCAATATCCATAAATCAATCAGCATAATATGTCACATTAACAAAATTAAGGGTAAAAATCTTGAGATTGTCTCAACAGATGCAGAAAAAGTATTTGATAAAATTCAGTATCTATTTATTTAAAAAAAAAAAAGAAATACCAAAGGTTATAGAGGATATGGAGAAAGAAGATATGGAGAGGATAAGGAGAAACACCCTCAGGTGTTGTTGGGGATGTAAACTGGTGCAGCCACTATGGAAAACAATATGGAGTTTCCTCAGAAATTTAAAAATAAAATTACCCTATGATCCAGCTATTCCACTTCTGGGTCTTTGAAAAAATATATGCACCACTGCGTCCATTGCAGCATTATTTAAAACAGCCACAATATGGAAACAACCTAAGTGTCCATTGATGGGTAAATGGATAAAGAAGCTGTGTTATACATGTATACGCACACAATGAAATACTACTCAGCCATGAAAGGGAAAGGAATCTTGTCATTTGGGACAACATGGATGAAACTGGAAAGTAATATGCTAAGTGAAATAAGGAAGACAGAGAAAGATATTATGTATAATATCACTTCCATGTGGAATCTAAAAAAGCCAAATACATAGAAACAGAGAATAGATTGGTGGTTGCCAGGGTTGGGTGGTGAGATAAATAGGGGAGATGTTGATCACAGGGTACAAACTTTCATATATAAAATAATTTCTGATGGTCTCATGTACAGCATGGAGACTGTAGTTAACAGGATTATATTGTACTGGAAGGTTACTAAGAGACTAGACTTTCAATATTCTCACCACAAAAAGTAAATAAGTAAAACAAGAAGGAAAATTATGTGAAGCGAAGGTGGCATTAACTATCTTAATGTTGGTAACCATTTCACAATATAAACATAGATCAACTTATCACATTGTGTAAAACTTAAACTTGTACAATGTTATATGTCAATTATATCTAGAAAAAAAAAATGGTGACATCATTGCCTTCTGGCCCCCATGGTTTCTGAATAGAAATCCTCTGTCATTCAAGGTGTTTTCCTCTCTGGGTAAGTGTGGTTTTTCTCTTTCAGCCTATGATATTTTTTCCTTTTTCCTTAGTGCTCAGAAATTTTCAGATGCTGTGTCTTGACATGTATTTCTTCAGTTTTATGCTGTTGGGGGTCTGCTAAATGTGAAAATTCTTCAGCAATTACTTATTCAAAATATTTTTCATCTCCATCCTCTCTCTGCACTCTTTCTAGGATTCCAATGGCACAAATGTTAGATCTTTTGTTTGGTCCCATGTATCCCAGATACTGTAGGGTTTTGTTGTTGTTGGTTTTGATTTGGCGGTTTTCTTATGTTTTGTTTTTAGCTTAGTTTCTCTTTTTGGTTTGGACTGGGTAATTTCTTGCCTCTGATCTTTCCTCCTTTATCCTTTCACTCTCCTCCTTCAGACCTTTCCTAGCCAGCCCCCCATACGGCATCGGTGCCCCTCTGTCAGGCCACTTCCCCAGCCACATTAAGTCAATGACCACTTGTGCTCCTTGAGTGTCTACCAAATAAACATCTTATTTCATTAAGGTATGGTATGGGAGCTGTCCAGTTTAACTTACATCAACATATCATGCGAACCTGGGTAGAACCTGGAGTTCTTTCTCTATTAGTGGTTGGCAGAACCTGTGTCTTTAATCAGATGTGGTAAGAAACAAAGACAGGAAAGCTATTACAATGCAGTAAGAAGTTTTTATTATGCGCATAGTCCCCTGGAAACAGAACACACAGAATGCCACATGGCGACACAGGCAGTACCAAGGTGAGAAGAGCAGACAGAGAGAAGTACTGCTGGCCTGTATTTTTTACTGTGTATTTCATGAGAAGTATGGAGAAGCAAAGTAAACAAACTACTTAGACATAAGATTGGAGAGTTTGAAAATTTCAGCAGGCTGCACACTACAGGTGTGCCCCTTGTCCTCTGGTACCCAGGAGGATCTGGATAGAGAGAATTGTCACAAATTGTGCCTCTCATTGAAAGGAAGAGAGTAGGATTGGGGCTCAGGATTGTCTGGCTTGCATATCAAACGTATGCTCTTGGGCAAGTCTTTAACTGCCTCTGGGAATTAGCTAATTTGGGGAGAGGTAGATCCTTTTTCGCTGGAGCAGGAAGAATGCAGAAATAAGAAAATGCATTAAATATAAAGCCTCATGAGGCTGAAAATAGGAGCTCGTGCAGGGGTGTCTGGGCAAGAGTGGTGAGTATTGTCGAGATCTGAAACTCTTGTCTCATAAATTAAGTGTGCCTGCTGAATCTGCTTGGTTCCAATGCTAAAGAAAATACTTTCTCCTTCCTGAGTTGACTGATGCTGGGCTCCACCCAATCTTACAATCTGGTGTGTCTGACATGCCTGGTTTAGGACGAACAGTTCTGCACACAGTTAATTGATATGGGATACACAAGTCTATCGGGGTCTGTGCTACACTAGAAACTACTTGCTGAACATTGAATAGGTTGTATTTGAGAAGGGCCAAGTCTTGCCAAAGAACCCGGAAGTTTATGCTGTGAGTCTTCACCTGGGCTTGCCATAGTGTCCACACCCTCCTTCCTGGACACAGATGCACATACCACCCAATGACACAGGAGGTCATAGGGCCCACGTGATAGGGCCACTTGCATTGTGACCTAAACCTGATACAGAGTCCCTCCTGGCTCTGCACCCGCTCTAAACTAGGGACTTCAAAATTAGCTGATAAACTAATTTATCAGGAATGGTGTAGCTTATCCAAGTGTGGAATGTGTTGTCTCAACATTCAACACTCAAAAAGATACTGGCTTCAACCTCAGTGTTCAGAGGTACAAGATGCAAGTACTTGTCCTTTACCAACAAGGTGCTGTGTTTCAACCTCAGTGGTCAGAGGTACAAGTTACAAATACTTCTCCTTTACCTCGGAGAGGATGT